GCTGGTGTCATGACTGAGAGACCATGACTGAGCTGGTGTCATGACAGAGACCATGACTGAGCTGGAATTTGACTGAGAGAACTGACTGAGTGGTGTCATGACCAACTGAGCTGGTGACATGACTGAGAGACCACTGACTGAGCTGGTGACATGACAGAGACCACTGACTGAGCTGGTGTCATGACAGAGACCACTGACTGAGCTGGTGTCATGACAGAGACCACTGACTGAGCTGGTCAGTCATGACAGAGAGACCACTGACTGAGCTGGTGACATGACTGAGAGACCCCTGACTGAGCTGGTGTCATGACTGAGAGACCACTGACTGAGCTGGTGTCATGACTGAGAGACCCCTGACTGAGCTGGTGTCATGACTGAGAGACCACTGACTGAGCTGGTGTCATGACAGAGACCACTGACTGAGCTGGTGTCATGACAGAGAGACCACTGACTGAGCTGGTGACATGACCGAGAGACCACTGAGACATCTAGGGCACAGGTCAGCACTAGGTTTGTGTGAACTCGAGAACAGTGATTTAATATTTGCTAAATCTCAGATAAGTCTGGAGAACTGTCACTGACCAAATCTCCACCAACACCAAACCTCACAAAACTGACTGCCAGATCTCAAAGCAAATGTGTGAGCTGAGCAGTGAGACAGTTAGAAATGGAGACATTTCTAGGGTATTCAGTGTGCAGCCTTTATAACGATGACAGTTATATAATATTACATTTTTGTCCTAAACACCTCACTAGAAAATTTGTCAAAAGTGTTACTTGGGTACCCTTTACAAAACCAACCCTAGCATTCTGTGGCCGTCTGTGAGTGGACCGGGCAATCTGAAGGAGTATTTATTTTTTTTCCTTACAATCACCGGCTGTAAACTCTGGCAGAAAGTTCTGGTTGTTCCTGCACCTATGGACTTTGGTCTTGTCCTGTTTGGTGTGAAAATTTTTTAAGCAAACACCCCAAATTAGTCGTTTCCTTTGACATGCCTGTTAGGACAGGGGTCATTTTTGCCAAAGTTAACGTGTCAACAAACTAATACAGATTTTTGCAGCTAGTGCCAGAATCAAACTGATGCTAAAAATACTGAATCAATATTTTTACTTTTTTTTTATACAGTCACTCTGAATGTAGGTGTTTAAAGTTACTATCACAGTCAGCATTTCTGTGTGGTAATGACCCAAAAAAAAAAAAAATTGTATTTAAAAAATACTCTAGAACAAATTGTATGCTAGTATTTACAATTGAGAAAAATTTTAAGAAAATTACAATATGGGGGAAGGGACAAGTTGGCAGACAAGTTGAACTGTGTTATATGTTTTTCTAATGTGAAAATTTTCATTTACACTATAACTTAATGAAAATTGTTTGGTTTGTATTGTCTCAGCCAATATGCTATAGTCATTGATAAGCTAACAACTCTCATTTATTTACACGTGAAAGTCTCTCAGTTGATACAAACCACTTTTGACTGGAATCATGCATCACTCAGAGTTGCCGGCAGGTACACACAACAGAAGTCAGACATCAAAAGTTCATTTGCTGATGTAAAGAGACAACATTTCATCAAGAAAAAACTGACCAGTTAACATGAATTATTGCTGTAATGAATGCATGTGATTGTACAGATCACAAAACTGGAATAATGTGACGAAGCTTACAAGTGTTAACATTGTTAGTCAACCTAATCACACACAACACATCTGCAACTATCATGCTGGAAAAGCAGCAAACATCAAATAAATTTAAGCAGTTCAGTAAACATCTGCCAATTTGCACAATGTGTTAAATATTGAAAATGGTTCATATTATTTTTTTTTTTAATGGTAAGGGACATTGCCATCATCATCACACACCAGGAAAAGCAGCAAAGAGCATTCAAGATTTCTCATTAATCTTGAACTTTTGTGTCTGAGGTAAATTCAGCAGCAAATCATTTTCCAGGTCAGTGTGTCATCCCATTTATTATTTTCTACCACCCTCAGTTTTCTAGTTAGCACAGGCTACTTCAGATCCTGTTTTCTAGCTAGCACAGCCTTCTTCAGACCCTCAGTTTTATAGTTAGCACAGCCTACTTCAGACCCTCAGTTTTCTAGTTAGCCCAACCTTCTTCAGACCCTCAGTTTTCTAGTTAGCACAGCCTACTTCAGACTCTCAGTTTTCTAGTTAGCACAGCCTACTTCAGACTCTCAGTTTTCTAGTTGGCACAGCCTACTTCAGACCCTCAGTTTTCTAGTTAGCCCAACCTTCTTCAGACCCTCAGTTTTCTAGTTGGCACAGCCTACTTCAGACCCTGTTTTCTAGTTGGCATAGCCTTCTTCAGACCCTCAGTTTTCTAGTTAGCACAGCCTACTTCAGACCCTTGTTTTCTAGTTGGCACAGCCTACTTCAGACCCTGTTTTCTAGTTGGCATAGCCTTCTTCAGACCCTCAGTTTTCTAGTTAGCACAGCCTACTTCAGACCCTTGTTTTCTAGTTGGCACAGCCTACTTCAGACCCTCAGTTGTCTAGTTGGCACAGCCTATTTCAGACCCTCAGTTTTCTAGTTAGCACAGCCTACTTCAGACCCTCTAGACACACAGTGTAACCAAATATGTGATGACTGTCTTGTTCTATTGTGGGGGTAATCATTTGTTTTTGTTTAATGTCCTTTTGCAGTATTTGGACAGTCAACAGCCATCATCAGCAATCTTAGTACCTACAAAGAACTTTCTATGAACTCAATGGCATGTGAAGTGATAGGTTACTGGTACTAACAGAATTGAAAATCTCTGCACTGGCTGCTGAAGATGGGGATGGAGTGCTTATGGGAATGTTTAGTGAGTTGAGAGGTTGGAGATTTACTCATTATGACATATTAATGGCCGAGGCATAATGAAGCAGTATATCCAGTCCCCCCCCCCCCCCCCCCCCATAACATCACACCATTACACATTATTTTTTCCCCATCACAGAACACTCTTGAAACTGTTTCCCATTTCTTCTCTCTGTGTTCACCAGCTGAGAAGTTCTGATTATTCACTTCTGGGCTTGTTCCAGAACGTGAGTGTTGCGTGCACATCCATTTGACAGATTTGGCTTATTTGTGTAGATTGTTGGTTCCTTGCCTCTCAAACAGAAGCACTTTCAGAAAGAAGATCCCAGTAAGTTGACTCTTACAACATGCTCATTTGCGAGGCAGTGTCTATTCTTGTTTTCCCCACAACGGGGCCCCTGAATCCACATAGGGAGTTTCTCATCTGAGGGCACATCACACCCAGTTATACTGACCAGAAAATATAATACCGCCATAAGTGGAAACTGAACCGGCACCACAAAGTTTGTAAGAAAGAGAACTACCAAAGCTTCTATTAAAATGTCTGAAGTTTTGATCCGGTGCCTTAGAATCAGTACCAGCAAACAAGAGGTTCAACTTCTACTAGACAAATGTTTATGCTTCGATATGTTTCATATTTCAGCATCAGTGCTCAGTCATAACTTGATCTTTCATATTTCATATCAGTATTTCAAGTTTTTTAAAAATAATTTTTGATATTTCAGTCCAGTCTTCAATATATTTTTTAAAATCATTCTTTCACATTTAAATTAATTTTTTTCAGATATTGTTTTTACAAGCTTTCACACTTAAATCTAGACTTTTATATATTATACAATCTTTCATAATTCAATAAAATCGTACTGTTTCATCTTTCAAAATATCAAAACATGACAGGAATTACAAGTGGTTTTGTGACAAATCCAACAATAATCAACTAATGATACTAGTTTACCAACATTTAAAAATATATATATATAAAATAAACTAGCATATCAATAAAACTGATTCATATTTATTCAGTTTGGACCGGAACCTCCAAGTGACCTCCTCATGTCGCACTTGACCAACGTTTCGGTCAGTTGGCAAGGCACAAACTCAAAATCAAACAGTTACCATCTTCGCAACAAAAGTCATCTTTTGATGTACCTATCCTGTGTAACTAGCAACAACCAAAAAAAAAACTAGCAGTATAAATTCTGTAATTTAAATCGGGAAAAAAAAAATGTATGCAATACCAACTATATGAAATCTAAGGGTCCCACTGTGGCAAATAGTCAACACCCTCGATGCCGGCTGTAGGGCCATGGATTTTAATATGCATTGCGTTGGGTTTTTCTTGTCCTCAAATGACCTTGGCTCCCATGTTGATCCACTCTAAACGGATATCAGGTAATGTACTGGTAAAGGCGGATAACGTGATGCTGGCCACGTCACCCATCAAGGGCTGACTAGTCTAAAAACTGACTTTAGCATCATATACCTAGCACGCTACTGGCAAAAACGGGTCACCATATATATATATATATATATATATATATATATATATATAAGGGCAAGCATGCTGTACGACTAATTTTAAAACTGCAAAGAGTTTCAAACGTCAAGCAATGCAATGGGAGCTCTCTATAAAACAGAGTTAAAAAAATAATAGACCTCTTATAATTAGAAATTGCTGATATTCACATACCACCACAAAGTAATATGTACGATATCTGAGTAACTTATAAAAATGTATAAAAGTAAAAATATCTTTCACAGGTAAAAGTTATGGTTATTCAATATCTATTGTGTATGTTAGGAAAAAAAATTTATATTTAAAATATTTATATAATGTAGTTGTGGTAAAAATGTTTAAAAAAAGGATACATCTATAACAGCCAATGGCTTTCCATCACTATCTGATTGGCAGATTTAACTGACCAATCAGAGGCACTAAGGAGGTGCGGTCACAAACATTTAAAAATTAAGCTTGAAGTTCTGCCGTTCTAAGCCTTTCTGCTCGGGCCACAACAAGTTACAATGAGCAGCTCACGGCTGACAGTAAAAAAAACAAGACGCAATTATTTCAGCAAAAACAATTCTGCCGCTGTAGCAGGCATTGCTGGACAAATATGGCACCTTCTTTGGGGTTGAAGGTGGAAACAAAATCGCAGGATTAAGCCCAGGTATCAGGCCTTCATACAGCCAGTGAGTCCTGTTCTATATTTGGTTTGCAGTAATTATTAGATGGATCACTGCTGCTCTCTGAATGCTGGCTTCCATCTGAACCATCAGCAGCAGCTGTGGATGTTGCTCTGGCCGCCATGCACACAGAAGTTGATGCAGCTGACAAGGAAGCTGAAAGCGATGAGGAAATATTTGCCAAAGTTATCTCCTGTAGAGATGTCTGGTTGGAGTAGGGAGCGATGGTTTCCCTCCGATTCCTGCGCTGTTCTTTGCGTTGTGCCAGCATCATTTGTATGCGCTGCATCCGATCTCTGAGCATAGAGTTCTCATCCTTAGGACTGGCTTCAGGAAAGACTGCAAAACACACAAAAAAATCGGTTTTCTTTGAGACTATTTTCATGGAAATAATCTTAGAATTATTTCTTAATCATGGAAAATAATAATATAAAGTGAAAAATACTCTTAGTATAAAGTGGAAAATACTCTTAGTATAAAGTGGAAAATACTCTTCGTATAAAGTGGAAAACACAGTACAAAGTGGAAAACAGTATAAAGTGGGCTACTGGAGAGTCGGACAAAGGAAGACATTACATCTGGAACAAGCTCAGTGGTTAGAAAGCAATCAGTACACACTTCACATGCAAGAGGAATGGTAAAGGATAACCAGAAATCATAATCCCCTAGTAAAGTAAATATTTAATTAAGTTGAGCAGAAAATTCATCAGATGAAAACACTGCCGAGCCAGTACCATTTTGTCACAAGGGAAGAGAGTGTGATGGTTGTGTTGTGCTGACAGTCATAACCCCTCAGTGAAAACCTAGAGAGATCAATGAGCAAAGACGAGAGGTTAGCTTATGGTAATTTGTGAACCATGAGTCGAGGATGACAGCTGTCATTTACTAAAGTTAGTCTGAGCAACAATTGTTGATGTTTAAATAATATGTGTTGTAGGAGTTACCAGTGTTTAAAAAACTGCCAATAACTGCATTTATCATACCACTTTTGTACTGTAGGCAGGGGTCTCTTTGAGCCTGAAGATTTATGGCTATGGCTAGTGCTGTCGCCACGGACTATGCAAGTGAAGATTTTATTTTGCCCCCGACAGAAAATATCCCCAGCCTTACTGGGGATTTGAATTCGGGTCTCCCACATAAGAGCCCATCATTCTACTCGTCTGACCAGCCGCTCCTCTACCAGTGCTTGTTAGGGAGAAAGTATGTGCTTGCTAGGGAGAAAGTATGTGCTTGCTAGGGAGAAAGTATGTGCTTGCTAGGGAGAAAGTATGTGAGTGCTAGGGAGAAAGTATGTGAGTGCTAGGAAAAGAAAGTATGCAGAGTGCTTGACGAGAAAGCTATGTGAAGTGTGCTTAGATGGGGAGAAAGTATGTATTGAAACTAGGGAGAAAGTATCTGTGCTAGAACATAGGGAGAAAGTATGTGAGTGCTAGGGAGAAAGTATGTGCGTGCTAGGGAGAAAGTATGTGAGTGCTAGGGAGAAAGTATGTGCTTGCTAGGGAGAAAGTATGTGCTTGCTAGGGAGAAAGTATGTGGTGCTAGGGAGAAAGTATGTGCTTGCTAGGGAAAAAATACATAAGCAGATAAACTGATTGACGACAATGCTATGTAAAGTGTGCAAACCTTAGATGGAAACAGGATAGAATCTATCATTATTGAAACAATATACAAGAAGGCATCTGTAGATAGAACATACAAGAAGAAGGCATCTGTAGATAGAACATAAAGACAAGTTTGAAAGTGCTGACCTGGTCTCATCTTGTTGACTGGACTTGAAGGTGGGATCAGTGATACTGTCGGCAACAGACAGGGACTAGTCGTCTGCACCGAGGCAGCCGTTTGTCCCTGGCCCTGAGGTGGGGCAGGGCTTTGAGGAGCTGCAACCAACAGATCATTCAGGATGTGCAGGATGGTGCTGACACTTCTCCTTGGCTGACCATTTCCATCCTGAAGTGAAGGGTCCAGAGTCCCTGCACACACAATTCAAATTTGTTTCAAAAGTTGTCATTAGTAAACGAACAAAAACAAACAACAAACAGACGATTAGGATCAAATAAATAACTTCCTTGGCTCCTTGACCATTTGGTCATATTTCATGAGAATTAGCCAGTAAAACTGATGACCAATGTAGCAGGTTTGAAGATGACCGATGCAGGTGTTGTGGTCAATGACAGGTGTAGCAAGTGTAAAGATGACCAATGAAGTAGCAATAACAACAATAAACATTTACTAAGAAAGAAAAATATTTTCTTTTGCTTCTTCATTGCACTGACTGGCTGTAAACTCAGGCGGAAAGTTACATAGTTGTTCGTCCCCTTCTGGCCCTGTTGCAGAACCTGAGTGTTGCATGCTCATCCACTTTCCAGATCTCAGGCTGACCCTGTTGGTTTCCTGTTTCTCAGACAAATGCACTCAAACTTTAGAAGAAGCCCCCAATTAGTCAGCTCTCTGACATGCTTTTCCATAGGCAGTGAGTCTATTCTGGTTTTTCCCCACAATGCCCCCCCCCCCCCCCTCCCCTCCGGAATAAACATGAAAAAAAAAAAACATATTAAAGATAATAAAATGAGCGGTAATGCCTACCTTGAAAGGTTCCTGTATATATTCCACGACCTATATGCTTCATGGTGTTGATAACGGCACCAGGACTTGGAGGAGGGCTGGGGGCAGAGCTCTCAGACAAGGTGGGCAGGGTTTGGAGGTGCTGGAATATTGTCTGGGATGAGGTGCTCTCTGCCGTTCTTGAGGCTGCAATAACGGGAGGAGTTTGTGTTTCTGCCGCCACGGGAGGAGTGACTGAGGTAGTTGCACTTCTGGAAGACTGCATCAGTAGAGAGACAGAATAAAATATATAAATGATAAAGATTAAACTCACCAATACAAACAAGCTTTATGCACTATGTAATTTTAGGAATTATAAACAAGCTGTAACTCATTTCAATGACTCGTTTCACTCGCCCAGGATATACATGATGCAGATGGTGAATGTTACTGTAAAACTAGTTGTTAACTTATTCTATATCTAACTATACCACCCAAATGCAGAAGATAAGCATATCTCAAAACCCAACAGTCTATGAATAACTGAACAAACAACAATTCTAGACATGAACAAGGAAGAAGACCAGAGAATGAATGAGATGATGAAAAATCAGTAATAACTTACTGCTAATTTAGAGCCAACATTAATTCCATGGAGTTTTTGTAGTCTCTGGGACAAACATCTGGCGGCTTCTGCTAGGGTCGAAGGAGACAACCCAGTCTGGGATATAACTGCGGCTGCAGCAGGAGTTACTGGACCTGTACTGGGGCGTGGCTGAGGAGGAGTCTGTGCTTGTGCCTGCAACATGGACAGTTGGAGCTGCACAAAGACCATATTCTCCCCCATGTGCATGGCCAGCATGAGTGGACTTCTGCCGGACAGGAAGTCGCTCACCTGTTGGAGAAGATCCATATGTTATTTACATCCACATGAGCAAACAAACAGAGAAAATCAGGTATTATGTGATGTGATAAACTGCTCTCGTCCTCACTAATCCCCAAAATAAAAAGATTGCTCAAATGGTGAGACTAAAGTTGACGAGCTAGTCTGAGACCACGGTTGATGAGCTAGTCTGAGACTACAGTTGATGAGCTAGTCTGAGACTACAGTTGATGAGCTAGTCTGAGACTACAGTTGATGAGCTAGTCTGAGACCACAGTTGATGAGCTAGTCTGAGATTACAGTTGATGAGCTAGTCTGAGACTACAGTTGATGAGCTAGTCTGAGACTACAGTTGATGAGCTAGTCTGAGACCACAGTTGATGAGCTAGTCTGAGACCACGGTTGATGAGCTAGTGATGAGCTAGTCTGAGACCACAGTTGATGAGCTAGTCTGAGACCACGGTTGATGAGCTAGTCTGAGACTACAGTTGATGAGCTAGTCTGAGACCACAGTTGACGAGCTAGTCTGAGACCACAGTTGATGAGCTAGTCTGAGACCACAGTTGACGAGCTAGTCTGAGACCACAGTTGACGAGCTAGTCTGAGACCACGGTTGATGAGCTAGTCTGAGACCACGGTTGATGAGCTAGTCTGAGACTACAGTTGATGAGCTAGTCTGAGACCACGGTTGATGAGCTAGTCTGAGACCACAGTTGATGAGCTAGTCTGAGACTACATGATGAGCTATCAAACAGTTGATGAGCTAGTCTGAGACTACAGTTAAAGTAACTAAACTGAGCAAATGCACGGTTGTGGAGCTAGTCTGAGAAACGGTTTTGATGAGCTAGTCAGAGACTAGGATTGTAATGATGAGGGCTAGACTGAGAAATGACAATTGATGAGCTAGTCTGCCACACTGTTATGGATGATGAGCTGAGTCATTGAGACACACGGTTGATGAGCTAGTCTGAGACCACAGTTGATGAGCTAGTCTGATTACCACAGTTGATGAGCTAGTCTGAGACCACAGTTGACAAGCTAGTCTGAGACCCACACACAGTTGATGAGACTAGTCTGAGACCACAGTTGATGAGCTAGTCTGAGACCACAGTTGATGAGCTAGTCTGAGACTACAGTTGATGAGCTAGTCTGAGACCACAGTTGATGAGCTAGTCTGAGACTACAGTTGATGAGCTAGTCTGAGACCACAGTTGATGAGCTAGTCTGAGACTACAGTTGATGAGCTAGTCTGAGACCACAGTTGACGAGCTAGTCTGAGACCACAGTTGATGAGCTAGTCTGAGACCACAGTTGACGAGCTAGTCTGAGACCACAGTTGACGAGCTAGTCTGAGACTACAGTTGACGAGCTAGTCTGAGACCACAGTTGATGAGCTAGTCTGAGACTACAGTTGACAAGCTAGTCTGAGACTACAGTTGACAAGCTAGTCTGAGACTACAGTTGACGAGCTAGTCTAAGACTACAGTTGACGAGCTAGTCTGAGACTACAGTTGACGACCTAGTCTGAGACTACAGTTGACGAGCTAGTCTAAGACCACAGTTGATGAGCTAGTCTGAGACTACAGTTGACAAGCTAGTCTGAGACCACAGTTGACGAGCTAGTCTGAGACTACAGTTGACAAGCTAGTCTAAGACCACAGTTGATGAGCTAGTCTAAGACTACAGTTGATGAGCTAGTGATGAGCTAGTCTAAAACTACAGTTGATGAGCTAGTCTAAGACTACAGTTGATGAGCTAGTCTGAGACCACGGTTGATGAGCTAGTCTGAGACTACAGTTGATGAGCTAGTCTGAGACCACGGTTGATGAGCTAGTCTAAGACTACAGTTGATGAGCTAGTGATGAGCTAGTCTGAGACCACAGTTGATGAGCTAGTCTGAGACTACAGTTGATGAGCTAGTCTGAGACCACGGTTGATGAGCTAGTCTAAGACTACAGTTGATGAGCTAGTGATGAGCTAGTCTGAGACCACAGTTGATGAGCTAGTCTGAGACCACAGTTGACAAGCTAGTCTAAGACCACGGTTGATGAGCTAGTCTGAGACTACAGTTGACAAGCTAGTCTGAGACCACGGTTGATGAGCTAGTCTTAAGACTACAGTTGACAAGCTAGTCTGAGACCACGGTTGATGAGCTAGTCTGAGACTACAGTTGATGAGCTAGTCTGAGACTACAGTTGATGAGCTAGTCTGAGACTACAGTTGATGAGCTAGTGACGAGCTAGTCTGAGACCACAGTTGACGAGCTAGTCTGAGACCACAGTTGACGAGCTAGTCTGAGACCACAGTTGACAAGCTAGTCTGAGACCACAGTTGACAAGCTAGTCTAAGACCACAGTTGATGAGCTAGTCTGAGACTACAGTTGACGAGCTAGTCTAAGACTACAGTTGACGAGCTAGTCTAAGACTACAGTTGACGAGCTAGTCTGAGACTACAGTTGACGAGCTAGTCTAAGACTACAGTTGATGAGCTAGTCATCTCCTGCTGTAAAACAGATCACAAACTGACAATATAAATTTCTCCTGCTGGGTTTTCATCCAGGAAAGAAGTGAGTCACATAAGTGATCAAACAGAGGAGCAAAAGAGATACATAAAGTAACAAACAGCAAATGCAGTATGTGGAATCATAATAGAAACAAAAAACAGAGATAGGATTGTAATGCAGAAGGGGCTGACGGAAATGACAATTTTAGCTAATAACAGCCACATCTGTTATGGATGTAAGGTGGGACATTTAACACACACACACACCTGGATTTTTTATTAAATGTTCGCTCCCACACACACCCACATACACAAAACCACACACAGACACCCACATACACAAAACCACACACAGACACCCACACACATAAAACCACACAGACACCGACACACATAAAACCACACAGACAGCGGCACACATAAAGCCACACAGACACCCATACACATAAAACCACACACATGCCCACACCTACCTGGGTTTCCGTGAGGTTCTCCAGTGCCTGAACTATACTCTTATCTGTGTGATGTAACTGAAAGTAAACAAAAGCAAACATGTGACAACGTGTAGGAACACTAAACTAAACAAACAAAAGCCTCTCCACACGCACCAGTTAGCGGTTTTCTGAAGTGCTCCCATCTGTCTGTTCATTTCCTCCTGGCCCATCATATGTTAAAGCCAAGACGCCACTTGGTTTCTAACTGCTGATAACTGCCACATAAGCTAACGCCCATGCTGCAGGAGCTCAACCCAACACAGGTCATACACGACTGGCAAACTGCTTCCTAGATAACGCCTTGTGTCTTCTGGGTCGTTGGTGTCACTTATTTATGGTATTTTAAAATGTAACCACATTTAGAATCATATATCACTGCTGATTTATAACTTCTGTGCGTGACCCGCTAAATGTGACTGCCACCAGATTGCTTTATAGCACAATGATCGTCGCCTGTCTAAAAGAGAAGAACCTTGATAGGACCTCACGTTGATGTGTTGGCCTTACAAACCGTATATGAATGGGTGTGTCTGCCTATCTTTAAAACTGATAGCCAATGTTTGTTGAGGTCTTCAGGCTAATATGCAGTGTAGTCGTCAGACTGTTGTCTGAATCGATGGTCCCGTTATTTATTGTCTGATGTGGTCACCTCGCCACTGTCTGATGTGGTCACCTCGCCACTGTCTGATGTGGTCACCTCGCCACTGTCTGATGTGGTCATCTCGCCACTGTCTAATGTGGTCATCTCGCCACTGTCTAATGTGGTCATCTCGCCACTGTCTAATGTGGTCATCTCACCACTGTCTAATGTGGTCATCTCACCACTGTCTAATGTGGTCACCTCACCACTGTCTAATGTGGTCACCTCACCACTGTCTAATGTGGTCACCTCACCACTGTCTGATGTGGTCACCTCACCACTGTCTAATGTGGTCATCTCACCATTGTCTAATGTGGTCATCTCACCATTGTCTAATGTGGTCATCTCACCATTGTCTGATGTGGTCATCTCACCATTGTCTGATGTGGTCATCTCACCACTGTCTAATGTGGTCATCTCGCCACTGTCTAATGTGGTCATCTCGCCACTGTCTAATGTGGTCATCTCGCCACTGTCTGATGTGGTCACCTCGCCACTGTCTGATGTGGTCACCTCGCCACTGTCTGATGTGGTCATCTCACCACTGTCTGATGTGGTCATCTCACCACTGTCTGATGTGGGCATCTCACCACTGTCTGATGTGGTCATCTCACCACTGTCTGATGTGGTCATCTCGCCACTGTCTGATGTGGTCATCTCGCCACTGTCTCATGTGGTCATCTCGCCACTGTCTGATGTGGTCATCTCACCACTGTCTGATGTGGTCATCTCACCACTGTCTGATGTGGTCATCTCACCACTGTCTGATGTGGTCACCTCGCCACTGTCTGATGTGGTCACCTCGCCACTGTCTGATGTGGTCACCTCGCCACTGTCTGATGTGGTCATCTCACCACTGTCTAATGTGGTCATCTCGCCACTGTCTAATGTGGTCATCTCGCCACTGTCTGATGTGGTCATCTCACCACTGTCTAATGTGGTCACCTCACCACTGTCTAATGTGGTCATCTCGCCACTGTCTAATGTGGTCATCTCGCCACTGTCTGATGTGGTCATCTCACCACTGTCTGATGTGGTCATCTCACCACTGTCTGATGTGGTCACCTCGCCATTGTATGATGTGGTCACCTCGCCATTGTATGATGTGGTCATCTCACCACTGTCTAATGTGGTCATCTCACCACTGTCTAATGTGGTCATCTCACCACTGTCTGATGTGGTCATCTCACCACTGTCTGATGTGGTCATCTCACCACTGTCTGATGTGGTCATCTCACCACTGTCTGATGTGGTCATCTCGCCACTGTCTGATGTGGTCATCTCGCCACTGTCTGATGTGGTCATCTCATCACTGTCTGATGTGGTCATCTCATCACTGTCTGATGTGGTCATCTCAACACTGTCTGATGTGGTCATCTCAACACTGTCTGATGTGGTCATCTCAACACTGTCTGATGTGGTCATCTCAACACTGTCTGATGTGGTCATCTCACCACTGTCTGATGTGGTCATCTCACCACTGTCTAATGTGGTCATCTCAACACTGTCTAATGTGGTCATCTCACCATTGTCTGATGTGGTCATCTCACCACTGTCTGATGTGGTCATCTCACCACTGTCTGATGTGGTCATCTCACCACTGTCTGATGTGGTCATCTCATCACTGTCTGATGTGGTCACCTCACCACTGTCTGATGTGGTCACCTCACCACTGTCTGATGTGGTCATCTCACCACTGTCTGATGTGGTCATCTCACCACTGTCTGATGTGGTCATCTCAACACTGTCTGATGTGGTCATCTCACCATTGTCTAATGTGGTCATTTCGCCACGGTCTGATGTGATTAATCTCGCTATTGTGATGACATTTGCTGCCGAAGCCTTGGCGTGACAAGATTGCATTATCTTATACGGCGCCAGGTTTCCTTGATATCGTACTCTATCCCATACACTGAGCGGCTAACTTTCTGGACACCAGATGTCTCTAATACACTGAGCGGCTAACTTTCTGGATACCAGCTGTCTATCTCTGGTGAAAAAGAACGACCAACCGAAGGCACACCCACAACTCGGTGTATAAGTGACAAGGAATTTTTTTTTTGGGGGGGGGGGGGGGGGGGGGTCATAATTCAGATGATCTCAAACTGTACATTATAAAATAAGAGCATCAACTGTATTGCTTTATGCAGCGGGTTCTGTTCTAACAAACTGTAGTTAGTAGTGCTAACATTGGGCCGACACCCAACCATGCTGGGCCGAATAACACACAGATTAGACTATGCCATGTTCCAAGATCTACTGTATATCTTCTGCTACGGATGCCATTCGTTTGTATTTCCTTTAGAAATTCCTTAAGTGTCACCGCCTGCAAGTCATTTCAGCAATAGATCTCTACAGCCACTCTTGGGTCAGGACATTTCATTCACCGCATTGACCTCAAAAAGGTCACCCTTCACATGAAGTGAAGTGGCCGAATTGTGTAAAGTACTATAGGCCATGTTTCATTTATTTGTTTTTATTTTTGATCCGCCATGGGGCAATCTGCGCTGACCTGATTCGCTGGCAGCTTCAGGAGCCTGGCCATAAATTGGAGCATTGACCTGACCTCAGTCAAGGACGTTGCGCGCGGGGGCAACAGCGATGACGTCATTCGTTCGCGGATAACATGGGGAAAATCGATCTGGGATCCTGTCGTGACGTCATGACTGGGTGTCAATCACACCCGGCTGGTCAACCTGGGTGGGAGTTGGGGGAACCTGTCCCATCACACCCGGCTGGTCAACCAGGGTGGGAGTTGGGGGAACTTGTCCTATCACACCCGGCCGGTCAACCAGGGTGGGAGTTGGGGGGAACTTGTCCTATCACACCCGGCCGGTCAACCAGGGTGGGAGTTGGGGGAACCTGTCCCATCACACCCGGCCGGTCAACCAGGGTGGGAGTTAGGGGGAACTTGTCCTATCACACCCGGCTGGTCAACCAGGGTGGGAGTTGGGGGAACTTGTCCTATCATACCCGGCTGGTCAACTAGGGTGAGAGTTTGAGGAACTTGTCCTATCACACCCGGCTGGTCAACTAGGGTGGGAGTTGGGGGAACCTGTCCCATCACACCCGGCTGGTTAACCACGGTGGGAGTTGGGTGGGAGTTGGGTGGGTTCATCTCCAAAAACATGTGAACCTAATACGTGACGACGAAAAACTGACACCTAGCAAGCGGATAAGTTAAAAAAAAGTGTGTTTTGTTATCACCTGCAGAAACTATCTCAGTTTCACGGGAGGTTAATACTAACTCTATTATCACATTTTGAAGCTTTGAATATCTTTGCATGATTTATTTACTTACTATATTTTAGACCGTAGCTGTTTTTTGCTGTTGTAATATTTTATGTAATTTTTGGGGGGTTAAATTACAATATGTCATTTATTTGTTCAGTTGAAACCTGTTCTGTCTGCTTAGTTAGTCACTATATATTATAACCTTTTTTTGATCAGTTGAAATATGTTCTGTCTGCTTAGTTAGTCACTATATATTCTAACCTTTATTTGTTTAGGCTCTTGGCTTTCTGTCCTTTTTTCCCCACAGGAGGAGTGATTCTCAGGTACGTCTGTTTGTAACAATGCGTATGTAGAAAACAACGAACACGGATATACTACAGCACACACCCAACAAATAATCCCATAGAGGATCCTCTAGTCTAAAGCAGCTTAACAAAAAAAAACGTGTGCCCGTCCCGCATGCAAAAACAACTACCCACAAAAATGTGTGTATAATTCTGATATCTAGGTGTACTGAATCGCCAGTGGTGCTTTAGTGTTCGTGCACTCCAAAGATTCTGCTAGTGAGATCGAAGAGTGGCGACTAAAGTGCATGACCGAAATGAACGCGCTCTTGCATTCACGCACGCAGCTGTGACCAAATGGTTTGACAGCAGGACGAGAAAATGATTCACGTGCTGTGCAAGATATATGTTTATTGACTTTCGATTGTTGATCGATGTCAGCTATCCCTCAACGGCCTATAGGTCACCAGGTGGCACACACACACAGAGATCATGCACACCCAGTGAACGGGTCAGAACTGAGGAAACAGCAGCTGCTGCGGCAGACTTGCTAGTCGTGAGGCCAGAGTGAAAGCTACCTAAGTACTGGGCAGTAGTTAGAGCACGTTTCTTACGTGCTACAACTAGATTACTTCACTATATCCGCGTACCATTTTAAATGATATAGAAACGAATATAAGAGAAGAAAGTTGCCACAAAGACACCGATGCTCCCTCTGCAGGGAGCGGGTGTAAGACAAAGAAAAAGCCAGTCCGCCGCTACGTCACCAACAGCAAACCTGCAAAAAAACGACACAACCAGGCTGACACCCCCCGAATGCGAACAATGAGCACGGTCCCCAGCATGACTAAATCAGGTCAACTCGTGCGTAAGTTGTATCGATCGCTATCGATTTTCTTGATACTCATTCAGGAAAAACCGGCACCAGGCCAATATCGGAGGCCAGATAATGCCAGTGTCATTTAGGAGACAGTTTTTGTGTGTGCGTGCGTTCCTTTCTCGTTTCTGCATGATTGCCTTTCTCCTACGAATTGTGGACGGGTCGATTACAATCAGGTCGAGAACGTCCATAACGAAACGAAGACAGATGTGAGGAATCCATCAGATAAGTGTTTGCGAACTGCAGGTTATGTAATTCGAGCCTGCATCGGGAAGGGGAGAGGCGGGGCGATTTACCTCTTGCACACACTTCCTTGTCAGTTGTTTCCTCCCGTATATGTTACGCAATGACAAACAAGAGGGGACGCTCATGGAAAAAAAGATAAGCACAAGTTATGACCGGCTGGGATTGCAGTGTGCGAGCTGGTGTCCTTTGTGTCGCCCGGCAATAGTCAGCAGCATCCTTCATTCAGGTGGTAGGAAGTAGTAGACCTTACAAAACGCCAACTGACCCCCCCCCCCACTTTTTTTTAAACTTTTCCGCGTCAAATGATATTTCAGCTGACCGTTCTCCATGGCTGACAAGTTCTTAATTTCTCCTACACCACTTCCCTGGGGTGCCCCTAGTTTCTCCTACACAACTTCACTAAGGCGCTCTATTATCTCCTACACCAATTCCCGGGCGCACTAGTTTCTCCTACACTAATTCCCTGGGGCGCACTAGTTTCTCCTACACCAATTCCCTGGGGCGCATTAGTTTCTCCTACACCAATTCCATGGGGCGCACTAGTTTCTCCTACACTAATTCCCTGGGGCGCACTAGTTTCTCCTACACCAATTCCATGGGGCGCACTAGTTTCTCCTGACCTACAACAAGGCTCGGAGACAGTAAATGTGGATCTGCTTGGTATTTGATGCCATCTCCATTCTTGAATAGACCACTGTGTTTGAGAGGTGATGTGAGAGACCCCAGGCTGGCCGCCTTCGCACTTGGAGACATTGCCTGGTACTCATTTCAGGTTGTGTCGACCTGGAAATGTAAATATTCTCGCCACCGAGGGGACTGGAACAAGGACTACCTGGTAGTCAGATACTGAGCCGCCGTCGCTGCCATGTGGAACAGCTGGGTCCGAAAACCGTGGCTGGAGTCTCCCAGGGGCGTTTCATATTCGTGCCAGGTAATGAATGTGTGTAAGGACACGAGCAAGCGGATAGGCTTGCAGGTTAAGCTGCTGTGGAGGGCGGGCGTGCCATGGGCTATGCTGATATTATGACTGCTCTACGAGAAGTGAGGCGTTTGCGAGAACCAAGTGATAACTGTGAATCTAATGGGGTTAGATGATGGCCTAATGTTAGCACTACTAACTATAGTTTGTGTGGTCGGCGGGTTCATGTCCCACGTCTGTAGGAGGCTGCAACATGTTCCTATGTCCGTCGATGTCTTTGTTAGCACGGAACCCCCCGCATAGTGTTTTTGCGCCTATTTTATTATGTACAGTTTACGATGATTTCAGTTACGACTGCAGGGGGGAATAACTACATGAGCAGACTACAAGAACAGGATGTTACAAGGGGCGTGAGATAAAGGAAGCACTAGACAGGAAGCCGAAGAAAAAGAAACAGAACATGTGTCCCCAGCGTCTACACGTAGTGGGATTTACAAAGGAGGAGGGGATCCGAGCAGTTATGGACTGAAGGGTTCGATGTGCAATGCGGACAATCTGTCGACTAACGTTAGTTGGTTTAATCTAACATAACAATAAAGCAGTGTAAACAGGCGCCAACATGAAACCTTTCTGCACCTGCCGCCACCATGCACCTGGCGAGGGGATCAAAAACCCCGTCGGTTTGAGAGTGTCTTCAACATTATCATCAACAAGTGCCTTGCCGACTGGCCTAATCGATCACGCCTTTCCACAATTTGCGATCCGCAGCAGCGTGAATCAGTTGGTTTGCTGACATCCCTCCGTGCCATGACAAAAGGTCGCCAAGAACCTTTGTCTTCCTATATCCCTCCTTTCACAGATCTTTCCAGTTGTCACAACATGCTCTATTTTCCCTCTTCTCATAACATGACCAAAGAATGATGACTGTCTCTTTCTGTCTACAACCCAGACCAACGTTTCAAGTTCACATTATTTGTGACGCTTATGCATATCTGTGCAACCTTGTCTACAGGCAAGCAACAACAACAATCCATGCATGTTATTTGTTTGCCAAATGATCGAAGCAGCCTAGAATAAATAACAAACTACAAATGAGAAGAAACAAATTGCAAAAACGCCAGGATGTTGACATGGCCCATATATGGGACATTTTTTTACAGCAAGAACCGTAATTCGCTGACCGTAATTGCCTCCCATTTTAATTACCTTGGCCAGCTGTCACGTGATTGTTACGACACTCAATACACAAGAGCGTTGCAGAAGACGTCTAATGGACCAGAGCTTGTCAATATTTCATCAT